ATCCTTGTTCAAGATGTTATCACAAGGAAAATACGGCTTCTTATCTAATCACTACAGCTATTAGGGTAAGTGTAGTACTGGCCAGATGCGTGACCAAATATTAAAATCCTTGTATTTTGGGTTTTCCTTTTCTAAGTTATATTTAACAATTATTCACCGAAGTGGAGGTAAATATCCATCACTTTCACCGACACTGAGGGTCAATAATTGTTTTAGTATATACCACACAAGCTAAATAATTACCAGACCAAAACGCTATTTTATGTGTAACAAGCAGTCAGAAATTTTAAAATCTCTCGCGCCGGCTGCTTAGAGGTGAATAGTACTTGCTAATCACCTTTAAGTCAACCAATCAGAGCGTGCGAAAAGCACTATTCACTTGTGTGGTGTATACTAAAATTATATATTTTTTGTTCTTCAATAATGTTTTGGTGCCAAATCTTCTTATTACTGACAGCTGCATTCTCTTTAGCTTAGCCGAATTCCATTGTCTCACTCAACAAGTATAAGGTTAAAAAATGAAAATAAAATAATTTGAAAACAAAATAAAATCTATGCATGCATGTATGTAGGTATGTATATATGTATGTAAGGTTACAAATTAGTACAAATATAATATCTTTGATGAGATCTAAAAGTCTGTCCTTCAGTTGTAAAGGCATTGATGACAACATTGTAGGCTCTGGGGTCAATTCTAGGTGTGGGCTTTGAAATTTATTTTGTCTTTCTATGCTCAGCATGGAATCACTATTAATACCACAAGAACAGCAGCATGTCTCTTCATATCAACAAAGTTAGGACGTGTTTGGCAGAGTTAGTACATGGTTTAGTGACCAGGTAATTATAAAATGCCTATGTGTTGTACTGTGAATGATTTCTTGTTTACTTCATAAATTATAAATATTAATTTTTTCTTCTCTTTCCGAGGCAATATCAGTGACTGCAAAACTTGCAACCATGTGTAATGCCTTTTCTTCTCTTCATCAACCATTTGTTCAACCAAAGAAAGGCATATCATTTTACCATGGCCATACTTGTACATGTATAAATTTACAGCAACCATATAAACTTACTGTATCTAGCAAAATGCAATGTTCAAATTCTCTCAATAATCTCCTCTCCATTTTTCATCCAAAAAATTTTAATCAAGGTTAAATTGCGTCATCTCCACTTGTACAAGCTCGGCAAATGGCTCACTTACAGGATCAGAGCCAGTCATCAACTCACTCAAACTTCAGCTCAACTGTACGGACTCAGAACTCAACATGAGCATGCTCTGTAAATTACCCAGCATTTCAGTACACATTAATTAACACGAATATTCTTCCCATCATGAATGGTGTTGTAGATGTGGCACAGTTGGTTAGTCAATTGCCTCACATGCAGGAGGTTTCAGGTTCGCATTCTGTGGAGAGCAATAATCTTAAGGTTCTGTTTCCTTTCTTTTTTACTGTTGTCATTTTTATCACATTCATTTATTGTCAAGAAACCATTTACCTGAAGA